CACAGGACACCTTCAGCTCATGCAGCGAATCTCTGCAGGAATCATCCAGTCTGGACACAGGTTCTCTGATTTCAGGACTAGCATCATGACAGCGAAAACTTCACTTGCTGTGCTTGGTTCCTTCTAAAGAACAAGCTCTCTGAGACAGAGCAGGTTAGGATTGATAGGCATTGAACTTGTCCTCATAGCACACAGGGCCTAGAGTGGGAGCAGCAGGTGACCCAGCTCTTCCAGCTCTGGGAAGAACTCTGAGCATGGCCCTCACACTGGCACCTGACTTCAAAGCACTTAGTCTTCTCTGCTGCCATAAACCCCGAAATAATCCACCTGTCACTTCTGCCATCTGAGAAAACCACAGGCCTTCTACCCCTTTTCGGCTGCTCTACTGGAACACAGGCATTTAAATAGACCTCATCCCTCTGAGTCCAGCCAGCAGAGGTCCAGGAGCTCCACAGGCCTCCTGGAGAGCGTTTGTTCATCACAGGACCAGAGTTATCACCTGTAAAACTGGCCTTGCTGTTCCCCAACTCACAGCAGCTCCACAGCCTAGCAGGAGCACCTGCAGATCCCTCTCCTAAGCTTTCAACACCAGTCTATCCGTCCCTGTGTTCTCCACCGCTTTGGCACCAAGTAGGATGAATCCTTCAAGTACTGGGACTTGCAGGGATTCAATGATGTATGAGGAACCACCCTTTCAGTGGCATGTTTGATACACAATAACACATTCAACACGGAGAACTGGTGATCATGTCTCAATCCTTCGTACTTTCCCATCTGTTGAAATCCCATTATTATATATTGTAATCCAAATATTGTAACCCCTTTCCAATCCACCTTGTAATCCAGAAAGTTATATTTGTAATCCCATAGAAACCTTATTGGAATTCCAGCAAGTTAATTACAATCTACTACCTCCAATGCAAGCCATGGTGAGAGTAAAGACACTACGACATATTCAAGAGTAAAGACACTACGACATGTCCAAGTTATGGACAGCCAAGGGGTCCTAAATTCAATCCAAAGGAGGATATAAGGACAAAGGGCCTGATCCAAGGTCACTCCCAGAATTTATTATCTTGTGAAGAAGGGGGTGGCTCAAGGTTGATGGGATGTGAGACTGGCGGGAACTTCGGTGAGTAACTTGAGCTGGCTGGCCAAGTGGGGAAAAAGCATCTTTGCAATTTGCAGGGAAAATGACATGCAGAAGGATCAGCCCGCATAATTCAGTTAGGGTGTTTTAGAAGGCTATTGCTTCAGTTTCTGATTTGTAAACTTCTGTGCCATGGGGAGTCATAACCTTGAGGCTCATACCCAGCTGGACATTCCTGGAGCTGAGTGGCTCTGCCATACCGCTGTGATCAATCTTTTACAGAAAGCACTATGCAAGGAAACAGGAAACTGTCAGGTTGGCTTCAACTATTGCATATCAGTACCTTAGCTGCCTTATTTGCAACACTTAAAGCCAATTGAAGGGAGAACGGAAGAGCATAGCCAGCTCTGTAAATATCAGTATATGGAAATAAGACTCGATTTATCTGATGTTGCAGCAGTTATTCTGCATTCCAGGAGAGGGGCCCAGTCATCCTCTACACCCATCCCCTCCTCTCCTGCCCTGTGCAGTTTCTTTAGCAGACCTCTATGAATAATTTCTCCCCATCTTCATCAGAAAGAGTAACATAAGAACTTGATGAAGGTCTAAGAAGAAGTGGGTTGACCTGAAGAGGACATTTTAAATCCAGAACAAATGCTCCAGAATTTTGTGTTGTGTGGGATTTTGTTACCCAAAAAGGAAGAGGAAGAGGATGAAGAGCTGGAGGAGAAAGGGAAAAGACAGAATCAAAACAAGATGAGGGTTTCAGATTGTCAGTATCATATGCACTGAGAGTGCAGAGAGGCCCCTGTGACTTCTTAGGATCACGTCTGCTCTCCTGGCCACCTCACTAAGACCAGGAGGACTTAGGAAGGTGAAAAAGCTTCAAGATCAGACGAGCATGATGGTGGTGAAAGGCGGTTTATTCTTGCTTATTTCTCAGAGGGATCTGAAGGTGCTGAGATGGCCTTGTCCCACAGCTTGAGAATATCCAACCAGCTGTCAAAGATATTTTGGATTGTATGATGCACTGCTGGGGGTCAGGTTCCCGGATGACTGGGCCAATGTGCAGGCCAAACATGCATTCCTGTCACTTCAGTCCATTCAATTCCTTTCTCAAAATATCATACATTGACTAGCTTATAAATAACAGAACCTAGTAAATCCAAAATCAAGTTCTGGTAGATTTTGTGTTTCCTGAAAGCACACTTTCTGGGTCATAGACAGCACTATCTCAAAGTATTCTCACACAAGGAAAGGGGCAAAGCAGCTACTGTATTGATGGACACTGACCCCATTGGTGAGGGTTCCACCCACATAATCTATCTAAACATCCCCTAAAGATGGGTTAAGATTTGAACATGCAAATTTTGGCAGGACATAATCACACAGGCCACAGCACCCACAACCAGTCTGGTGCCTCTTTTCATCTGGCTTACAACGACATAACTTACCAAAACATAGGCTACTGGACTAGAAGCTGATTCCTAGTGAACTAATATAATAATAAACTTCTATATCAGCAACAAACACCAGTATGCCTCACATTTCAATAGTGCTTCCCATTTTAAAGACTTTAACGTGCATCATCTTATTTGATCCTCCCAACCCTGCTCTGAAGCAAATGGTCTTACCCCTGTGTCACAGATGAAAAGCTAATGCTCTGGCTACAGTCTATGTAACTCATAATGAAGTTACTGATAGTATTTGTCTTCACAGCAGGTCCTGTGCTCCCTCTGCTGTACTGAAGATTTTCACTAGGACTGAAACAAACTGCAGCACAATAAAGTACAAGCTTCATTCTCTAATCATGACTCAAACACAGTTCAACAGATGTCTCTACAGCTTCACTGCAGCTCCCCCTGAAGTTACCCCCAAAAACATCATTCAATGATCATGGGCCCCTTGTGGCTTTCAATTGTATACATTCTTATTGTAGCAAAACAGAATATATTATGCTAAAGCAATTTTTTTTAAAAATTGTTGACAAATTGATGCTCACATATATACACATATACACATAATTACAATGATTGGATAGAGTACAAATAGTGTCAAAGTCTAAATAAGACCTCATGGGGAGACATTTCTGGAGACAAGTCCTACCTGTGCCAAGAAAAGACCTGCTTCACCAGATAATCCAACTATTTTAGGCTTTCAAATGATTTTTATACAAAAAGACAGAATTCAAACAACTTGGAGTAATGTTATAGTTTACCTCTAAATGTTCCTCCAAAGTCTCATGCAATCACAGGTAGGGCTTTCAGGGGGTGATTGGATAAGGGGAAGATTATAGCTAACTTGCTGCTAGGAGGTGAAGTCTGGTCCAAAGGGGTAGGATACTGGGAGCATGGCTTGGGAGGATCTGACTCCGGGACCCACCCTGGTGCTGTCTGCTTCCTGTTCTCCATCCTGTGAGTGGCTCTCCTTCACTATCCTCTCTATAAAGCCTTCCTGCGTTGATCCAGCCCACGATGGACAGAACCTTTATACACAGTGAATCAACACAAATCTCTCCTCCTTTACATCACAGGTGTCAGATATTGTGTCTCAGTGATAAAGAAAGCAACTAAGACAACTAATTTCTCTGTTTGCAAATATTCACAATCAATGGCAGTGAGAAAAAGTACTTGAATGGGAGTCCAGAGACATGTTTTGATTCAAGTGCCCTGGACTGACTAGGAAACATAAAGAAGCCCTTCAGCTTCCTAGAGCCTTGATTCCCTCATCTGTCAAGGTTGCTGGTGTGTGCCGTGTGAGATGTTTACAGCTTCATGTTCTCTGCTTTGAGCACCCATCCCCAGAGAAGCTCCACCTGGTCCATGAACTAAAACGAATGATTGCTTCAGGCAATCAGGACTGCAAAAATGATGTGAGAAAAAAGAATGTACGATCATCCAAAGAAACAAACTCCAACTTCTGGGGGCCAAGTAACACAAAATAATTACAAATGGCAATAACCCAGAGACTGGCTACACCCCTAGGTGTTTTCATTTTACGTGATGCACAGGATCATCATGAGTTTTCATCAACACTTATGCACAGAAATTTCCAGAGGAAATATTTTTTGGAAATAAAATCTCTAACTAAATGCCATCATTTTCCCTGGGTTGTAGCTGTTCAGAGAGCTGCATCTGTATAGGACCCCACAGGGGGCTTTAGAATTCCTCTTAATTTGCCCAAAGATGCTAATCAAGCCTACAGGCTTTGAGTCATGAGCATTTCTGTTGACGTGCTGTTTGTTTTAAATCAGAATGCCTTCTTGATGGGAGGCTGAACCCTGTTATTAAATCCCCTTTTATTCATGTATATATCCATCAATCTTACTTTATGAATGAAATAGATCAAGGATAACACATTAATAATGAAACTCTGCAAGTTGCTCCCAAATATCTAGTCAGATGTCCTATACAATGTGTACCCATAAATACCTTTTAACTATTTAGTGAAGTTATCTCAAAAGTATTTATAAGACCTTTCATGAGAAAATAATGCCCTGAAATCTCTTCTAGTTTTAAAATAATTTAGACCATAAAATGTATTTTGAGATAGAGTATCTTTATTACATCCAAGGCAAAATAGCTTTTTTATGAATAAGGAAAAGACTAACTTATACATAATGCTAGCTAACTTTAAAAATTCTGAACTCAAAATTACATAATCACTTGTGCTACTAATTTGAAAATTGGGCAGAAGCCATTAACCCTCCCCAGTGAACTGCTCTTTTTCCCTTTTTGAAATAGAATCTCCTCTCAAGATTTCACAAATTGGCTGGGGATTTAGCTCGGTGGCATAAGCACCTGTCTGGCAAGTGCAAGGCCCTGAGTTTGATCCCTGCTACCAAAAAGAAAAAAATAAAATAAAATTTAAAAATTAAAATTAAAAAAAATGAAATAAAATAGAATTTTTTTTTTAAAGATTTAACAATGGAGCTACAGCGACGCAAGATGGCAGCCACCACGGGCTCAGGAGTAAAAGTCCCTTGCAATTTCCGACTGTTGGAAGAACTCGAAGAAGGCCAGAAAGGAGTAGGAGATGGCACAGGTAGCTGGGGTCTAGAAGATGACAAAGACATGACACCTACAAGATGGACAGGGATGGTAATTGAGCATCCAAGAACAATTTATGAAAACCGAATATACAGCCTTAAAATAGAATGTGGGCCTAAATACCCAGAAGCACCCCCCTTCATAAGATTTGTAACAAAAATTAATATGAATGGAGTCAATAGTTCTAATGGAGTGGTGGATCCCAGAGCCATATCAGTGCTAGCAAAATGGCAGAATTCCTATAGCATCGAAGTTGTTCTCCAAGAGCTTCGGAGCTTATGATGTCTAAGAAAAACATGAAACTTCCTCAGCCACCTGAAGGACAGTGTTATAGCAATTAATCAAAGCCCCCCAGGCCTCCTTCATCCCCACCCCAAGTCGATTCAAGTAGTCTTCATTTTCCACAGTAGTAAATTTTATAGTTGCATCTTATAGACCTCAAAGTACTGGAAAGGAAGCTCCCATTCAAAGGCAGTTTTTCTTAAGATACTGTAAATAATACTAATTTTTTGTCCATTTGAAATATAAAAATTGTGCTATAACCAATCATCTGTCAAGTGTAACCACTGTCCACATAGCTGAACTTCTGGGATCAAGGAAGTGTGTTAAATTGATTCCCATCCGGACTGGTGGGGCACATCTGACCTAACTGTGAAGAGACGCATCACACAACCACCTTGCTACTGATGACAGGCCACCTGCCCTGCCCTGCCCAGCCCTAGCCAGGGTGGCCTCTGAGTGGGTGTGAAGGTTTCAGGTTGCCGCCTGTGGGACTACTGCTGGGTGTGGGGGGGTGCTTGCCTGCACTCTGGTTTCTTTTTTAAGTCTTAAGTGACGCCCCCTTCAAGCCATTGACCTGTCCCACCCTTCCACTCCCACCCTTGGCCGAAGCATAGATTGTAATCCTCTGTCTCCCTCTGAAATTGGCCTTCGGTGAGGAATTCAGGGCTTTTCCCCATCTCTCCCCTACTTTGATTGAGGGGTGCTGCTTTTTCCCTCCTTCTCTCCCTTGTCACACTGTCACCCCAACACTTCCCACAACCCTTCCTTCCTTGGCCAGAAGCCATCAGGTAAGGTTGGAAAAAGCCTCTGACCTCCCTCGTTAGCTTTGGACCCAGTCACTCATCCTCCGCCAGCCTGGGAAAGGGCACAAGGCCCCTGGCTCTGCCACCTGCTGTCACTGTCAGCCGATGTCTTAGCTCAAGTCTGATGAGGTGAACAGACCCCATGTCCCTGCCAGCAGACCCGGAGCACCGCCACACAAGGGCGCTGGTCAGCACATGCAGTCCCTCTGGATGGCTCCCTCCCCTGCCCACTCCGCATTGAAGCATTAGAGAAGGTTTTTGAGGGCCTCGTTGGTGGCCCTGGGCTCCATCTGGGTCTGGAGGGAAATCTGACCGCTGGCAGAGAAGAACCCGAAGTGTAGGCTTTGGCTCTGGTGCTGCTGCTTCTCTGCTCAGCAGGGCCCAAGGCGCAGCTGGGCACAGATCTGGCCTGGTGGCCTGGCAGCTGCTGCCTGCTGCCTTTTCCCTGTTTGTTCAGGACCACTAAATGCTGAAATGTGGATGCAAACCCAAATAAAGCAATTCGTGGTGTTTCGGAAAAAAAGATTTAACAAGTCATGAAACTATATAGTATCACTGGTTGATCTCCTCCAGAAGACATAATCCCCATGAAGACAGAAGCCATAAGTACTTTCCTTACCAGTATATTCTCATCCCCTAGCATAGATCATCTCCCAGGCTCTCTTGCAGCTAGGTGTAGCTATCTAAGTCCTTGTAACTTAGATGTGAGTAGCGTTAATGTGTGCAGTTCCAACTCCTGACTTTAAGCACCCTGAGTCTTCTCTCCTCTCTCTTTCTCCTCTTCCCTCGGGTTGGAATATCAGTTCATCCAGGGAGATGTGGGCAATGCCCTTGAAACGGACAGAGCAATAAAAAGGGACCTCACTTGCTGGATGACTCTGAACTCTACCTTTCTCAAGGTGGTTAGGTGAAAGAGAAATCACTATCTATCTTGACTGAGCCACTGCATTTTGTTACAGCAGTTTGCTAAATACCCTAATATAGATATTTTAACTCTTAATTTATACTATACATCCATTTTCCCACAGAAGATTGTGATTTACCTTGTATTTTTCTTACTACTCTGCAGATAGTCTTAAGAATAAACATTTAGTAGTAGTATATGCATATACGGAGGCAGCCTAGTATAGCATTTTAAAACAAGGCTCTGACATCGGTCTCTGTCACTCACTTATCTTTATATGACCTCCTCTCACTTTCATTATCTATAAATGTGATTGTGACAATGCCTACTTTATAGTGTTGTGGTGAAAAATGAAATGACAATACATATTGAAATCAGAAATTCATAAGTGTCAGTAGGCATTGTGGTACTGATGATATTATTGCTATGTTTCAGGGATAAATATATAGTCCTATAGAATATTAAGTATCTTGGACTATCACTTCAATTTATCTAAACTCTGATAGATGTAAACTAAGGCAAAATTTTAATCATGTGAAATTAAAAATTTTATTTCTCTCTCTCTCTTTGGTACTAGAGATTAAACCTAGGGTCTTCATACCAAGCTAACATCTCCAGCCCTCTTTTACATTTATTTTGAGACAATGTCTCATTGAGTTTCCCCGGTTGGGCTTAAACTTACAATCCTCTGGCCTCAGTCTCCCAGAGTGCTTGGATTATAGGCAGGAAACATCATGCCCAAGAAACCTCATCTAAGTCAGCCTCTCATTCATTTTTACCTGCAATGAAGTTGTCTTCCCTCCAATTTCTAAACTATCACCCAAGGAAAGATGTGTTCTCATCAGCTGACATTTTTATTTTGAAAGCCTTCTTTTTTAGGTAATTCCAAGCAAGGCATTTTCGGGAAGACATTTCACTGAATCCCTTTTGCAGCTCAGCTTGTCCCAGCCTGTCATTGGTCTTTCATTCTGCCCTGCTGCTCAGCCACCATGCTTCACTCTCAAACTCTGCAGTGTCACGGACACTTGGCTGGAGGTAGAGGAACAAGAGTTAACTGTTCAGGGATTTTGTGTATGGGACCAGGAAAAACTGAGGAGGCCACAGAAAGAAGTATATAATGGTTAAACACTGCTTATTCTAGACCTAGGGCCTGAAGAGGCCTGGGGATGGGCGAAACAGGAATAAAGACACAATGCTGAGAACAGTGGGAAACTGGCCATTCTAAGATCTAGGACACATATTTTTAAGTGTATGGTTTGATGGTGTTGGCAATGGTAAAAATGGGGGATAAAGACTGCATATTGGAATGTTAACATAAATACTGACTACAGGTTCTAGAGTATTGAAACTAGAAATGAAACTCAAATTGTAGTTTATTAATCATAAAATTCTGAAGGTAAGGCTTTAATAAAAGATGATGATGATGATGATGATGATGATGTTGAAGCAGACCCTCTGATGATATCCACACCCTCAACTCCTCCTCCTCTTGGTTCAGCCCACCTTACAGCAGAGCAGCTCTGGTAAGTACGACATCATCCCGCTCTGGCCAGAGATGCTTAGATAAATAGAAACACCTAATCCAAAACAGGCACATCATGTTCTTCCTCTAGAATGCTTTTCATTTCTTCAATTGGGTTCTATGTTTGACTATGGTAGACTACGCTGGCACCAAACCAACCATCTTGAGAAGAATAACCAGTGGCCAAAAAGAGAGACAGACAGACAGACAGACAGACAGACAGACTCACCAAAAGGTTAGCCTGATATCTGACAACACCTTTGTCTTTGAGGCACTTTAATTAGGGACCGCGACTGAAAAGTTGTAAAGAGCTTTATGCTCTTAGCTTTTGCTGTTGAGATTTTAAAACCCAAGGAGTCAGGTACAAAGAACAAAGGCCCTGGAAACCGCCAAACATTCTGTCAAAATTGCTGAAGGGCTATGTTCTAAGACTCACTAAGAATATGCTCTGTAAATATTTAAACACAAATTTGAATTGGCTCAATCTTAGAATGGATTAAGGTAATTAGCCTCTACCTTGCAGATGTGTCTAAACAAGAGTAGGAGAATGATAACATCATGTAGAAACTCAAATGATTTCTTCAATCTTTCATACAGTGGTTGGTATGAAAAATAAGAAATCCTTGAATGAAAATCAAAACAAGAAAATCTATTAGACCACAACAACAGCTCTCAGGAGATTCAGGTATTGGAGTTACCATTTACTCACTAATTTAGTGCATACATAGCACAGATTGTGAATGAGGCAGTGTGAATCCACTGATAAACAGCTACAGCTACAGCCTACATAGAGGCAGTTTGGTAAGGGAGGTCAAGCAAAAATTATCCTTCATTTGAACTAAGAGAAATAAGGTGTAAGAGTCCATCAGATGGTGATAAGCATGAACCCTACATGGGTCACATACAGCGGTGGTCAGACCCTGTGGATGTAAAACTAAAAGCCTTACAGGGGAGGTAAAAAGCAGAGATGAAAAAAATATGCACACCCAGAGAGTCGGAGAGATGGAGTCACTTGCTGGTGCTGGTCTAATTCCCAGGAAGCCCGACTACATTTCCCATAACTGGGTTCCATGAGATTGACCCTATCCCCTTTCAAACTATATTACTTTAACTTGAGTTTCCTTAAAGTGATTTGAGCTTCCTTTAAGTGAATTTGTGTTCCTTGCAAAAAATATATCATTTCTAACAAAAATAAAAGTCATGTATGTGTGACCTGGGAACTATTATGGTACCTGCTATACTGGCGGGAAAGAGAAAGAGGGAGACGAAGGGAAGGAGAGAAGGTGGGCTGGGGGAGATTGAGAGAGAAAAAATATAAATTCTTCTGGATTCACTTGTTGAGAATATCATCCAACCACAATAGAAAATTCTACACGTATATGATCAGACTTACACGTGACAGTCAAATGCCAATAATACGAAACAAAAGGAACAGCAGATGCCAAGTATTTGGGACTCTATACCCCAAATTAAACAAGATTGCCTCCAGAGGAAATCAGTTACTGGCCAAGACAAGTAAGACATCTAACTGCAGTATTTAAACAAGTGAGATTATGTTGTACTCTTTGATCAAATCATAAAATATGTTCCCAGCGTTTTCAGTCAAGTACTTGTTTTTCTAGTATTTTGCTGCACCTTAATTGTGCAAATCCCTATCTTTTGCTTTCCCTCCCACCACCTATGTTTCAATTGCAAGATCCTCCTGTTTGAATTGTCTATATTTAAATGATCCTCGAAGAAAGGGATACACAGAGCCAGACAGGACAAAGACACATAAAACACATTTGAAGAAAAAA